AAAGTAAAAAATAGGAAGGAAAAGAGAGAGATAATAACTGTGTGGCCTTTCCCTCTCATCCACACCGCTTGCACAAAAAACACATACAGGCTTGTGGAAGTCCATTAGGATTCATCGCTTGCTTCCTCGTTTTTTGTTTCGTTTTTCCCCTTCCCGCCACACACACACACACAGACATGTATATATATATATATACACACGTACACACTGCTGTTCGCCGCAGCCGCCGGGCGAAGATGGACGTATTGCAAGAGGGGAGTAGAAGGAAGCAAATAACAAAAAACAAACAGAGCGCAATACCATAAAAGTGAGGACCATCAGGGGCTGACAAGTTCAGTTGTACATTCCGGCTGCGATCCTGCACCGGTGGGCACTACAATCTACCGTGGTGGCAGCTTCTGAGGCGTCTGGTACTGAATGTGCACCACCTTCGCCAACTCGCCCATGACGTCCAGCGTCAGTTGGAGGTCCTCACGAGTGTGTGCAGCGGAGACGCAGAACCGCACGCGTCCCCCGAGAAGCGGCGTGGCTGGGTAGCCAACAATGACGATGGCCAGGCCGCGCCGCAGGCACTCCCGCGCCATTACCGAAAGCTTGCCCGTGTGGTACAGCATGACGGGGACCACCGGTGAGGCGTCGTTCCCGAGCACCGTAAAACCTTGGGCGATGAGGCCCTGCCGCAAAAACTGAGAGTTCTCCTTCAATTGATGGATGCGTTTGCGGCCAATGTCCGTCCCGTCCCGACCGACGATAACGTCAAGGGCGGCCAACACCTGCTGCGCGCAGGGAGGGGCAAGCGTGTCACAGTGCAGGGCGATGGAGCTGTGGGTGCGCAAGTAGTCAATCACCTTCTGCTCCCCCGCCAGGTAACCACCAATGGAACCAAAGCTCTTTGTGAAGGTTCCCATGAGGATATCCACATCTTTTGTATCGACGCCGTAGTGCTCCGTCACCCCGCGGCCAGTGCGGCCAATCGCTCCAATGGAGTGTGCCTCGTCCACGAAGAGCAGAGCCCCATACTTCTTCTTGAGAGCCACAACCCGCGGTAGATCGACGATTTCTCCCTCCATACTGTAAATACCCTCAACGATGATGATGATGCGGGTCCACGGCACGTATTCTCCATTGGGGTTCCGTCCAAGCACCACCGCCTCCCGCAGCAGAGTTTCCAGTTGCCGAAATTGGTTGTGTTTGAATACCTTTAAGCGGGCGCCGGACATGCGTATGCCGTTCACCAGCGACGAGTGGTTCAGGCTGTCGGAGAGCACCAACGAGTCCCTTCCAAAGAGGGCGGGAAGGCCACGAAAATTTGTGCCGAATCCCATTCCACAGACAATGGCGTCCTCCTTGCCGAGGAAGTCGGCAAAGGCGCGCTCAAGCGTTGCAATGGGGGTGTGTTGTCCCGCCACCTGCGGGGAACTGCACGACGCAATGCCGTACCGGTCGATGCTGTCCAGCACCTGACGCGTAATTCCCGGAACATCCGACGCAAAGCCGAGGTAGTTGTAGGAGGAGAGGTTCACGCAAGGGAGGATATTTCCGGTTAGCGAGAAAGTTTGATTGCCATCGTGTGAAACGCGCTCCATGACACCAATGACACGCGACGGACGGGAATCAATCGGGTAGTTAAAGCAGTCACGGAGGCGGCGATAGAAGTGTCTTTGCCAGTAGCCATCAAAACTCTTCATCAGCGGCGCGTAGCCCTCACGGCCCTTCTCCTTCTGAAAGAGGCGATAGTACAACTCATAGAAGATAGAAAATAGGCCAAGTAAGCCAAATGAGACGAAGAGACTGATCCTGGCTAATAGCGAGCACTCCTCTTCCTCCTTGTCGTGATTCTCCTCCTGCTGCGGCGGTTGCGTTCCCTGCGTGGCCGTCACAGCCTTCTCCCTTTGACGTACATCCTCCGCCTCGCTGAGTGAGAGGTCGGGCAGCACGGCACCCTGCTTGTTGCACGTCTCCACGGGGGAGCCAAGCTGTACGGCGGCCTTGGCATCCAGGAGTTCCAGGCCCCCTTTTGGCTCAAGATGACTCTCAGATGTCACGTATGAAGGCATTTTCAATAGCAGACAAGGAGAAACAAAATAAACTGTTCCGTGACTTTTGCCTGCTTCTCTTAATTGCTGCGTGTGTGTATGTGTGTGTGTGTGTGTGTGTGTGTTGCTTGGTACGCTTTACTATATTCCGCAGCAACGCAAACACCCGTGGAAGACGTAGTCGGGAGCAGCAGCAAGGAAGAAGAGAGAAGGCAACGACGACGGATGGAAACAGGACACACCGTTGCCCCATGCAGACGACACGCACCACTACAGGCAGACTGGAAGCAAACGAGAAGTTAGCTGGGGAGTCACACACGGCATGCCAGAGGGGCGCCGTCCAATTCAAGCTGCCGCTCTTCCTTTTTTTCGTCCATGCTTCCTCCGCTCTCTCCACCACCTTTGCCTTTGTTTCTCCTTCGCTTTTTTTTAAATGTATGCAGGTTTGCATAAACCATTTTTGTCCTTCGCTACCGCACACAGGATGGGGCACAGGGACCTGACGTGCACGATGCCGACAGGGCGCTCAGGTCCATGCCGGAGAGCCAGCGCTGCTGCAGGCGATCGTACGACCAGCGGAGGAACATGTCGTCCACGCAACCGCAGTACCCCTTTGGGCGTTTCGAGCCGCAGTGGCACAAGACAGCCGCGTCGCCGTGGCTGCACGGCCCAGGTCGGCTGTGAAGGGCGGGAATGGGCAGCGCCAGTTCCGGGGAGGCAGCGGAGTCCGGCAGCATCGTGACACAGCTCCCAATGCAGCGCGGGGCCCCCTCAGCCAACAACCACGCCACCACCTCCCGCTTTCCAATCTCCACCGCCGCGTGTAACGGGGTACGGCCCCAGCGATCGTAGACATGTATGCTGCCGCCAAATTCACGCAGCAGTGAGATGACGTCCAACCTTCCGGCGATGACGGCAATGAACATTGCACTGTAGCCGTGCTGCATCTGATTTACAGCAACATCAGGGTCGCTAAGAAAGCTCATATCGTTCGGATCCGCCCCAAGCTCTAGGCAGCGCCGCGCAGGCTCCACGCTTCCAGTGACGACAGCCAATATTAGGTGGGTGGCTCCCCGGTACAACGCGTCCTTCGTCTTGCCGCAGAGGTCAGGACAGAGCTCCTCAAAAAACCTCGCAATGGACCTCATAGGCTCTGCGATGCCGTTGTGGCTTCCCCTCGCACCCGTGGCGTTGTTACTAGCACCGTTGTTTCGGCCACTGTTCATACTGGTGAGCTTCGCAACGCTTTCCATGATGCTCTTGGCACACAATTCCTGCGGCAGTGCGGTGATGCCCCGCATCGGGCTGAAGGCCGACCACGGGATGGCAGGGGCGGTGCAAAAAGAGCGCAGCAGGTGCCGGTCGGGGTAGTCGTAGTCGGTGAGGCTAAAAATGCGGCTGTGGTCGATGTCGACGCCTCCCAATTCGGCGACTTTGCCGTCGAGGGCCTCACGCAGTCCCTCGGCGGGGGACGTGTTGCGAGACCGCGGCATGCAGGGAGGAAGCGAGGGAGGGAGGAGAGGGAACGCGACGGCGCGAGGTACGCTCCTCGCCTCTTCTTGCGTGCTTCTTGTGAAAAGGAAAAAGACAATCAAACGAGAGACAGCGGCAGACCAGCAGTGAGGGGGTGGGAAGCATTTTAGCAGAAGCAAATGCGGCGGCGGCAACGCCCCTCTCCTCCGAGGCGAACAACAAGTCCGTGCGAGGCGCAGAAGCAGCAGGAAAAGGGTGTAACCATTACAGTGATGCACCCGGCCTCGGGCACGCGCCCACACACACAGACAGATACAGAGGCAGACACATGCAAGCATGCATGCACGCAGTGACGCTGCAGCATCCCCCTCCTCACTTACTCAAAGCGGCGAGGGAAGAAGAGGGGCAAGAACTGCACCTCAACGACTCGTACACCGAGAAAGAGGGGGGAGGTGTATGATAACATGAACAGCGAGATGGATCTAAAAACTAAATTTTGTCGGACAGTGGGATGGAAACGGTGGAGGGGGCGGCGTGGGCCTCCGCGGCCGCGGAGCCTCCCTGGTTTCCCCTCGCGGCACGACGGAGAATCTCGTTCTTCAACTCCCCGTAACGCGTGTACTCGGCCACCCACATATGCCTGTCACTCTTCGTCGAGGGTCGGCCATTGCTCTTCTCAAAGTTGCTCTCAAAAAGGTGAAGGACGTGCTTCAAGTAACGCTTCTCCGTCGTGAGCTCCTCGTCAGACATCTGACTCGCCGGCTTTCCCTTGCCCATGGTCCGCGCGGGGGAGGGCTGGTGCGGCATGTTGTTGGAGGAAGTCATGGAAACCGGCGCTGCAAACACTGCGGCACCAGCGCCGTCCAGTGGGCCGCCGGAAAAGTACGAGGCCTGCGCCCCAACGGATCCGCCTCTCACCTCGACAGCGGCATCACCATTGCGCACGCCGCCCTCATGCAATGGCTGATGCTGCTGCTGCTGCTGCTGCGGCTGCGACTGCAACAATTGTGTTTGGAGAGGCTCCGCGGATCCCTCGACGCTCGGCTCCAGGGCGGCAGCGTGCGGCGACTCCGTCTCCTTCAGTCGATTCTTCGCCGCCTTGTAAAGCTCGTACACGTGACGCAGCGGGACCTTGTCGTGCGCCGTCACCGCGACCCCGCGGTCCTCGCGGAAGGCGCGCTCCCACTCGTGAATGCGCTGCTTCATCTCCTTCTTGAAGACCTGGCACTGGCTGTGCGACATGGTGGCCGTCACGGCCAGCGGGGCCCCACGCCCGCCGGCCTCCCGCGTCAACTCCAGCGACGTCGTCTCGCCGCGGTACGCCGCCCGCAGCAGCGCCGCGATGCTCTCGGCGGAGGCGGCGCGGGGGCCGTAGTTCTGCTCAATGCGGTTGCGCTGCTCACGCTGCAGGGAGCGCACCGAGTTAATGTTTGTTTTGCTGTGGGCACGGAAGTCCTCATCGATGACGTGGCTCTGCGTGAAGCTAAGCGCGTCAATCGTCTCTGCGGCTGTTTGAAACAACAGCCCGCTCGCATCCATCGCCATCGCCGCTCGCTTTCGTATCCCGCTCCTTCCGCTCCTCCTCCTCCTCCTCCTGCTGCCGCTGCCGCTGCGGGTGCGGTGCGGGCTTCGCTTCGCGCGGCGAGGGGGGAGGGGGCCGAAGGCGCGTGTCCCTTCGCACCGCAACCCCGCGCCGCCTTTCTTTGCGCGTTCCCCTCTTTTTCGGCACGGGGCCCCTCCCACGTTGCCGTCGCAAGGCACCCCCTTCCGGCACACAAAAGACGCCCACACGCACGCAGACGCGCAAACGCTCGCTCTCTCCGCACACGCGAGTGAAAACAAACGCGCGCATGCACACAAAAAAGAAAAGAAGAAGAAGAGAGATTCAAAAAAAAAAAGGGGGGGGAGGGGGAATAATAAATGAAGAGAGAGGGAGAGAAAGAGTTATCGTCACCGACACGCCAGATGGAAGAGTGACGGCGCACATTTCACTTCAGACGCCAACGCGTCGCACAGGCACATCCGTCACTTTCCCGGGCCTATTCGCGTACCAACACACCAAGAGCGATAGAGAGAGAGAGAGGACAAAGAAGAAGGAAGGAAAAGGAAGGGAGGCACGACCCGCAGACACACGCA